CAACAAGTTGGCATAATCTGAATATATCATACAGAACCTTCATCTAAGTGGGGCCTCAAATTCTTCATTGCCTGGGGTGACAAAATGGCTTAATCTCACCATGTGGGCATGACAATGTTGTTGCCATTATTTTTAAAGGCCTCTCACAGCAGTGCAAATCTTTTGTCCAGTGAATTTGTGGTTAATTTGACATCAGATATTCTAAACAGGCTTTAACCCTTCAAAATCCCAGGCTTATTTCACACTAAGGCTAATTATTCAGTGTCTACAGGGCCCATGACCACTTCTACAACACAAGAATAGCTCAGCCAGTTTGCATTAAAGTCGCTAGAACTTTGACCAATCCATGACATCAGAAAGGACTGCATGAGGAAAGGACCTGACAGGTCAAAAGTCACCACTGTATGGAAGGTAAGCTAAGAGGACGCTTAAAAAAGATTGATGAAACTCCACTAAAATGCACAAGGCTTCAGCCTGGATTAGATGTTAAAGTGTTCAAATGGACAAACATTAGATTATATCCAAATGTGAGAAGTTGAAACCATTTTTTCTTTTCTCTCCCTTTTCATCCATCCTTTTCTGTTTAGTGAAGAAAAGCACACAGCGTTTTCATCATTCCACTGCTGTTTGTCATTTACCATTAAGTAATGTACTGTTCAGTTCTCACACAAATGTACCGTACCATTTTTTCCTGAAGAACCTGTTTTAACAAAGAAAAAAATTCCAAGTGATGGTGCTGGACAGGAGTTATGCCTTTCTTCTAGAACCTAGTTTGCTCTTTTGTACCTGGTGTGCTATCAAATATCAAGTTTGTCAAGTGACACATTACCTTTTTACTATGTTCAAGAGGCTTTCTTGTCATTTCAGCTATATACAAGTACACAGTGAAAAAAAACAACATTCTTCCTGGACCACGATGCAACACAGGAACACAAGTGCGAGACAATAAAACAAACACAATTCAGACAATACAGTACAATAAATAGAAAAACTTACAATGAATACAAAACAGAATACAGGCAGTACACAGTGCTGAGAATATGTGAGCATAACCCGTGAGCATAACACAAGCTAAGTTCCTTCTTCACTCAAGTACAAGTTACAGTTTGATTAACTTCGTCTCCATCCAGCTCTGTAACGTCAACATTACAATAACTCTTCTTCTACCAAAACCAAAGCTCTCTTTATCGGCATACTTTGTTTGATCATGTGATGAAGATGGTAAAACATGTTTATAGTGAATGTTTTTGATTATAGTGATTGTTTTCCCATCACAGTGATTTCACTCACTCCGAGAATGTCAAGTGTGTAGTTGTTGAATTCACGCAACAGTAGTCTGAGATTGCTGCACTGGTGAAGCTTTCGTACGTCCCATATTCCAATTCTAGTTGTCTTTTCTGCTGTGATGATTCTGTTTTTCTTCAGGCTCCAGAGGTCCTTTCAGTTTTGCTTCGACGCCATCATCAATAAAGAGTCATCAATGGAATTTTCCAGCTGAGACTGTTGCTTTCTTTCATTTGTGCTTGTTGTTTCTGCAGCAATTGGTATTTTTTTATGAGGTCAGGTTGCTAACCCAATGCCCAACCCTCCTCCTTTCTCTGCCTGGCTTGGTACAGGCCACGACGGAGTTAACCACGAGCAGTTGCACGCTGATGTAATTAGCACTGGCCTACATGTTAATGATTATGAGCTGCACTTCAAATGATCGTTTTAAGCAGTGTACCAGTGGATATACACTTGCATGCAAATCCTACTCTAGTCATACTCCAGCCACATGGAAATCACACTCAAATCATATCAACAAGTTGGCATAATCTTTATATGGCATACAGAAACTTCATCTAAGCGGGGCCACAAATTCTTCATTGCCTGGGGTGACAAAATTGCTTAATCTCACTGTGTGGGCATGACAATGTTGTTGCCATCAGTTTTAAAGGCCTCTCACAGCAGTGCAAATCTTTTGTCCAGTGAATTTGTGGTTAATTTGACATCAGATATACTAAACAGGGTTTAACCCTTCAAAATCCCAGGCTTATTTCACACTAAGGCTAATTATTCAGTGACTACAGGGCCCACCATCACTTCTACAACACAAGAACTTTGACCATTCCGAAACATCAGAAAGGAATGCTATGGGAAAGGACCTGACAGGCCAAAAGTCACCTCAAGTAGGAATGAGCAACAGCTGAAATTCATGATTTTAAAAGACAGCAGAAAGAAAAAAAAAAACAGTTTGTAGAGTTGGTAACAGGACTATTTCTGGAGGAATGACTGTGAGAAGATGATCACTGTCACAAAGTATCATAAGAAAGTAAAATTAAAAAATTGCTTCCACAACTTTTGAGAAATTGTTTCCAGGAGATGACCAAACACAGGTTACTTTTCACATCAATCACAAATAGACAAAGGATTTCCAGTGCTGTAAGACCATTAAAATAAATGCAACAATATTAACACGTCCATGTGGACAAGGCCACTAGCATGTTTAGCCTAGAGGAATTCACTATTGTACTAAAAAGTACATATATATGAAAAGCGATTCTGTATAAATAGCTATCATGAATAGCGTTTTTATGTATACAGAATAAAATAAACAAGTTTATAAAAAAATAACCTGATGAGTTTCCTTGTAGAGAACTATGCAGGGCAGTGACCTCAGCACTGGAATGCAGTTTGACAGTTTTATTCTGTACATACTTAGAAGTACTTTAACATTAAGGAATTTTCAGAGAAGCCTCAGCTAATTTAAAAAGAAAAGATAAGATAAGATAAGATAAGATAAGATAATCCTTATTAGTCTCACAATGGGGAAATTCTCAGTGTTACAGCAGCAAAGGATAGCAAGGCACTCAAGAAAAGAAAAGAAGTAACAAGAAGAGAATTAACAAGCAGGTACCTGACCTTATTAAGTACTTAACAAGGTTTTTACAGTTTGTTACTTGTTACCATAAAGACAATATATATAATACTAAAAGTAAAAATAAGAAAAAAATATAAACTCTATCCTCTAAACTCTAAAATTAACAATATAAAGGATTATAAATAAATAAAAGCTATGATATTTACACTGTAAGGATATTTTACCAGTATTGCACATGAGATACTGATTTATATTACACATGGGATGGTGAGGAGTGAACAATATAAACATTATAAATAGAAAAGCAAAAAATCTTTACACTATAGAGATATTTTTAAAAATATTGCACATGGAGTGTTGATTATATTGCACACAGGACATGGTGATGAATTCACAGTTTATGTTCTGTAGGTGTGTGAGGTCTAATGGGGGGTGGAGGAGGTTCTACTGGGAGCAGTTCTGGTTGTACAGTCTAACAGCAGCAGGAAGGAAGGACCTGCGATAGCGCTTCTTCACACACCTGGGGTGAAGCAGTCTGTCACTGTAGGAGCTGCCCAGTGCTGCCAGAGTCTCATGAATGGGGTGGGAGCTGTTCTCCAGCATGGACGCTAGTCTGGCTAACATTCTCCTGCCTCCTACGTGGGTCTAGGGGGCTTCCCAGGACAGAGCTGATTTAATTTCAGTGTCCATGCTCTGCCTTCATCACAACTTTTATTCTTTTTGTCAAACTTGCTTTCGTTTTCTCAAGTTGTTCAAGCTTCTAGAAACTGCAACCAAAGTTCAGAAGTTGGTTATATTTTTTTCTGATCAAAGTAATCCCTAACACATTTAATAATGTTGAAGTCTTGGGCTCTGGGTGACCAGTCCATTGTTCTGGGAACACCAGCAGCTTCTTTGCTTGATGAATATTTCTTGATCTTCTCAGGAGTTAACCTGGGGTCCTTATTTTGCTATAGAATGAATTTCTTCTCAAATGTTTTCCAGAAGGTACTGCATGGTGAATTGAATTTATTTGTGCTTATTGGCATTCATGATCCCTTCACTCAAAAACAAATCACCAACTTCAAATGTTATATTACATCTCCAAACTTGAACTGACCCCCACACCATGACTGATGGTTGCAGAAATTGCAGAAGTTTTCTTCCATGCTCAAAATTGTGTTTTGTAACACAACAAAAAATAAAAAAGGAAAAAAAAATAACATGAATTTTTCATTTTTGTTATTAAAGAACAAGCAAGAGTTTTTTGGTTCAGTGTTAGACTGTTCAAGTGCCAGCAACTACAGTGGCATTAACAACAGTTACTACATTATAATCTGTTGTTCTAACATGTCCAGTTTATTGTGTACTGCAATTTTTGGCTGTATGTCGAGTATTACTGTAGACAGGGGTGGTGTTTGCACTAACCAATGGGAGGCAGCAACCTACCTGTAGTTATGTGACGACTGGTACAGTATATCTTATTTATATTTGGTAGCCAATGCCCCCCATGAAAATATAAATGAGATATACTGTACGAGTTGATGTTAACCTATGCCAACACATTTTTAAAAGAGCTGCTACTTGCAATTGCAGTGATTATTTTCAAGAATATCAAGGCAGCCCCTCCCCTTCAAAATAATCTTTTAATCTTCTTACAACAATCTCAAAATGAAAAATATTCAACATATCCACCATATTGAAGATGATTTCACTTGCCACTTTTTGTCTTTTGCTAGGGCTCCAGAATGAGTAAATTCACCCCTGGCTGTAGATATAGAGGAGAATACGCCATGTAAAATTACGTTAAAATGACTAAGCTGAGCCACCAATCTGTCAGCAACTGAATTTCACACTTTTGTGTGTGTATTAAAGAGAAAACGAAAGTTAGAAACACTGAAAGAAAGTCTGTGTGTTTGACGTTCAGACAATGCACAAGGTAAACCATGATGTGACTATAATTTCTTAGATGACTGATCCCATCTGTCTTTAAAATTCTTTTCATTTTTGCTCTTCTGACGGCTGCATAAGGAAATAATCTCATGAACTGAACTGATCCGCCCAAATTCCTATAGATAGGTACAAATATGGTGAGAGCAAAAAGAAATCTGCAGGTGCTGCAGGAGCAGCATTTCTATGCACTGTTATAACCAGTAAAGAGAGAGAGAGAAAGAGAGAGAGAGAGAGAGAGAGAAAGAGAGAAAGAGAGAGAGACTGAGTTTGCTCTGCAGTGGCTTCTCAGGTAAGGATAATGGCCACTCATTCTCATTTATCCTTAATATTGAAGCTCGTTTTCTTTTCATATGCTGTTTATGACCATGCATTTTGTGTTTTTAATCAGTATTACGGATTGAAAATAATCCTGTCATGCTAATGGTCTACATTTTACTAAGTCCAGTGTGATCTTACCTAACTACACTATTTATTCCTGCCTTTCAATAACACACATTTTAAAAATTATAACTATATCTTTACATGCTTGGGCCTTTCTACAACTAGAAGCAATTTTAAGGCCCAGCAGTATATTTTTGCAGATATCTCTACATTTTGGTCATAAAAACATGTCGTTGTGTCATGTTAGGCATGCATGTAAATATTAAGAAACTAAGGACTACAACAACACTAACTGTAACATTCTGACAAAATTTTGTATATAGTGTATAGAATTGTATATAGATTTGTATATTTTGACGATTTTCAGTTTTTGACATAATTTGAAAATGCCTGTTGCTCTTTACATTGTGTGTAAATTTCATGAGGAATGGACCAAAAGAAACAGCCCAAAATAACTTGGAAAAAAGTCTGGTTCCATTGACTTACATTAAAAGTAAAGTAGGTAAAGTACATTACCTTTGTACATTAAAATTCTGAGTTTGGTTTGTAATGCTGATTGTTCTTGCAGGTTTAAAGTTATTCACAATGGGGTTCCTAATCCCACTGTGTGTGCCTCTGCTGCTGTTAATGCATGGTAAGTTCCTGCTATAATGTTTGGATGTGCAGTTGAGGTTCATTCTTTCTGGTAAACATTTGATTTTATACTTATTAATTCACTAAAATGTTATTTTTCTGACAGGAGGACTCATCAATGGACAAACAACAGGTAACTGTGTCACATAAGTTTCAATAGACCTTAGCATAGATTGTGATTCTTTGAGAAAAAAACATTTATGTTTAATAAAAATATATTTTAATACATATTAGAAAGTCAGTTTTTTAAAGAACATTTCATGTCTAAACTGAGTTATGACGTAACTAAAGCTCGGAAGGAGGACCACACCTAAAAGACCTCCTGCTTTCAGTATAACATGCAATACATTTCCGTCTCTGCCTTATGTTCCTTGTGATAAAGTTTCCTCAGTCCTCTCTTAAAGTTCTACCTGTATTTGTCACAGAGCTCCAGTGTTCTAGCTTAAAGCAAATGCCATCCAATACACCAGCCCAAATTCTCGGAGTTATCTTGCCTCTTAGTCATAGAGGTTTTAAACCACAACTAAGGTTGTACTGACAAGCAAATCAAAACAACCACTAAATTATAGATAAGTAGATAAATGGGTGGATGGATGGATGACACATCATAGACATATGCTTGCACAATTACAAATGGGCAATAGTCACATTTAAGATTCTAAAATAAAAAACAATATCAAAAAGAAAGTATTTTACCATGAAAAAGGAAGGTAAGGTGACTGTAGCCTGCTAGCAGAGTCACCCTCCTTTAAGGACAGCAATTTAGAGATGTTTAATCATGGACTTGATGATTATCCTGGTTATAAAGGCAGTATTGTCCAAGAAGCATAACATGTTCAATCACTTGTGATTTACCTGTGTGGGCAGGCTGGGCAATCACACTGGGACCCATGGTGCAAAATTTGTTATTGGGCCCCTCAGGGTGATACTGCCCCTCAGGTGTACTGTAAGACTATCAGTTGCATTATCTACTCCAGTTGCTCTAAAGATGAACTAACCTGGAGCACATAATAGCTCATTTAAAAAGAGAGCAACAGGTCAGTCTTTAGCCTCCTGTACTCACCTGATTAACCTTGCAAGCTGCTATTTCTGTCAGCTGTTTCCCTCTGTTGTGAAAATATCAGATGAATTCACCATGAACTGAGATGGTCTATGTTGTTGATTTCAGCACATTCTGCACTGGTTCACAAAAATATTCCTGGTTCTACGTCCTAGCTTATTCATCTTGCATTTAACATTACACAAGCAGAACCCAACAGAACAGTCTAGTTTCCGTTTAGGATGAGTGAAAAGCATCATTTCACTTGTCCAAGAAAGTAAAGTATCATATGGAATGTAGCATTATTTACACTTGAATGGTTAACCCCTTAAAAGGCCAAGTCCTACCGACAGGCCCAAAGTGTTATTACACACTCCTATAACCTAAGAATAGCTCAGCCAGTTTGCACTGGAGTCCATGTAGTTACTGAATAATAAGCCTTAGTATCTAATAAGCCTGGGATTTTAAGGTGTCAAGTGACAGAGCTGATAATGGTACTGTAGTACTTTATAGATTGGTATCACAGTCAGGTAGGCTTTTTGGTGTGACATTATACTTACAGTTTAAAAGTTTGGAATACGTTCTTATTGCGAATGAACAACAGTATCATGATAGAGATCATAAAGAGTACTATGCAAATGATTCATGCATCTGAGAAAATGTTCCGTAAATCTGTTTATCTGGGCATTTATTATTAATTGAAAGTAATTTTCAATGTGGGGGGTAATTGTTTTTGTTTAATAGGTATGCCACTCCTTGTAAATAATGTGGTGAACCTTTCCTTCAACTTAAATAACCCTCAGAGACATTGGGAAAGGCTTTGAAAGTTCATAAAACCACTGGCATCATCAATCATGACATCTCATCACCAAAATGCAACTTAACTAACAAAACCTGCCCGTCCAGGGGCACACTAGGCATGGCTGTCATTTCTGTGATATTATCTGTTAGTTGCTATTATCTGTGACAAAACAGAAAGACCAGAGTCAAATTACAAAGATAAAGGAGAGTTCTGATCTGGACATTGCTTTCGTTCACATATTAACCTTGCATATTGCTAACATTTGTGTCAGAAAATAAACTTGACTACATTATATTTCATATTACATAAAAAGATGGACTTAAATGAGAAACTGAGTACTGATATGCTTGCCTATATTAAGACTGCCCTGTAAAGTATGTGAATTCATTATTAAGGCAATAAGAACAGTGAAACGTAAAAGTGGCAGTGTAAAGAAAGACATGCACACAAGACACACATAACTTACTGTAATGTAAGTGAAAATGTTACTCTCTAATATTAGCTACCAATAGGAGATAGGAGTAGACATTTCAGATTTCATGTATGGTGTGCTCATTGTAATACAGTATAACTTACACAAAGCACATTTAGTTTGTACATTATTTGTATATTATTATTTATTATATAGTCTTTTTGGATTAATGAACACAAGAAATTTGGGGATAGAAGGTTCTTGACTGAGGCACATTGTTGCTGTCAATAAATAAATAAATGTATCAAAGTTACCTGAATTGTAATTTCACTGAGGACTGGGCAAAAATGGTCTTCACTTTTAATGTTAATGTAAAGAGGTTTTATTCCAAGTTATTTTTGGAGCATTTCTAATAGTCGATTCATCTGTGTTCAAATGGTGTAAAACAGTAAAATAAAAATATGTTTTGTTGTTCAATATACTGTCTGAAATAATGGAAAATAATGTTGACCCCTTAAAATCCCAGGCTTATTACTTACTAAGGCTTATTATTCAGTAACTACAGAGACTTCAATGCAAACTGGTTGAGCTATTCTTAGGTTATAGAAGTGTGTAATGAAACTTTGGAAAACTTTGTCCAGCATATTTTAGAGTTGTCCCTGTTTCAGCACACCAGATTCATCTGGTAACACTTTCTAGCCATAATACGTTCATAACATTGTGTGTAATCACTTCATAATTAATTTCTAAGTGCTTCAGTTACATTCATGAAGTATTTGTACTCTACATGCCATTAATATAGACTACTATGTCATTTTAATCTAGCAGACATTTTCAAAAGGAAAGTCTGCATATGCTATATTATATGTATTATTTCCTCATATTGAAACAGTCAAAACTGAACCGGGTTTGCCGTTTTACCTCAACAGTGCACATGATAAAAACCTGGAATACCTGGCTGGAAGGCATGTTGTTTGAATCTCTTAAATAAAATGCAAAGTAGTCAACATCATTCATGTAGTGTTAAGAAATAATTTGTTTTACGATAATAATCTGGCTATTTTCATATTTTGAGTTGGTTAAACCTCAAACAGTAAGATAACATTACAATAACCTGTGCTTTGCATTCTATAATGAGGTATATACAAAGCATTATAGACCTGTGAAATAGTTTCACTCACCGTACTTGTACAAAGTTTTCTTGTGCAAAGCAACAAAGAAAAGGGGTCAATAAATGAATGAATAACCCATGAAAATTTTACAGTACATGAATTGAAGTATAGACTATGTTGTATTTCACTGAAAAGATCCAAATAACTTGCACTTCAGTCAAGCAAACATGATTTTCATCACTAATTCTGTATATGTGTGTGTGTGTGTGTGTGTGTGTGTGTGTGTGTGTGTGTGTGTGTGTGTGTATGCATGATAATACAACAGTTTGGAATGTCTAGAAAGAAAAAGAAACTGCTGGTGTACTAACAACCAGATGCTGAACCAAGTATGCAAACGTATATGTTTAAAAAAAGGCCAAATTAATTTAATGTAAAATGAATACCTGTGAATTCTGATTAAAATACGTGGAATGGTTTATACAAGATGTTATGACTGTGACATGTAGACACCCTCCGTGTCCCCAATGTTGCCAATTAATAAGCTCATTAACGAAGTGTGTGTTGGAGGAGGAACACACTTACTGTGTAATTTTACTGTGTAATTTTATTTGGTAACACATTACAATAACTACATTTACATGAAGCAGGGTATATTCGTAAACAGTACAGTAACACTCCATTACATTTACACAATCATTTTCTATATTAACTAAACACATTCATTATATTATATTGAATATATAACATAATTAATTGAAAACACCCTCATTGATGTTTAGTGTACTTGGTATGATCAATAATAGATTAAGCACACAGCAAGCCTAAATCCTAAGTGTATTCAGTGTTGTTTATGGTCATAAAGCATTTGTGATTGATATGAAATTGCAAGAGCAACTCATTCAGGAAATATTACTATAGCATTCATGAATATGTATATAGTAGCATTTCAGTAAACACAACAGTCAGGATGATCACATTTCAAAATAAAGTCAGTATTTGATAAAACGTATGCACAATTTTAAAAGTAATGTAAAGATACATGAAATTTTACGTCTTTGATTTAATATTGGTATCATTTCAATTACATGCTTAAAATGATGTGTTTCCTGAAATGATGAAATGTGTTTTGAAATGTATTTATGATCATATCAATAAGTATACATTAAATACAATTGACTGTGTTTTCAATTTATTACATTACATGCGTTACATAAATGTGTTTAATCAATGTGTTTAAACATGTGTAATTCTAAGTGAAAGTGTGATTGCAATAGAGCAAAAAAAAAATCCAATGGGATGCTACTGTTGATGTGATTATAATGCATTGTTGCCAGAACATGCCATGAGTTCTTCTTGTACATGTAGTTCAATGAGCAGTTGAAAGTGTGTCTGCGTAGGAGGACGAAACAGAACTTCTTTTTCTGAAAATCATGTGATCGACTGACGCGTCTATTCTTTATCGTGAAAGTTGAACAAACAACAAATGATGCCAGTATCAGTTTTCAGGCTGAACATAACTGAGACAAAAAAAACAACAAAACCTGTCAGTCCAGTGGCTCCCTGGGCAGGACTCCCATTCTAGTCATACCATCAGTATTGTAGCATCGACAGAAGGCCACAGGAGTGGCCATGATTCCGCTGCAAGAAGTGCACTTTATTAAACACACTAGCAGAAAGGAATACATCCCAAGGAGCACTTTATCCCAAAGGTGACCCCCCTCAAACACAAAACCCCCAACTAAACCCCCACTGCAACACATATTAACAC